GGCTTCCTCAAAAGAGATGTTCTGAAAAGACAGCTACTTCATGCTGCCTGCTTGTGTCGAAGCTTACTGCAACCATGCTCCATACGGGAAAACTGGAGGCACCTACTAGTTTAAATATAAGGGCTAACACTATCATGCATCAGCCTACATTTTATGAAAATTCAGAAATTCAATTTTTTAAAAATCACAGAACGTCATAATTTTCACAGTTCAAGCGTTCTTCCCTGCCCCCCAAACTCGAACATATTATATGTAGTCACTTATTCTGTTGTAACACCCTTCTCAGACACATTATAAGCACACATTAGATGATTGTAGTTGAACACAACATACTGAGGCGGAAGGAATGCACTAGACTGGGGCGGGAGGAATGCACTGTGGATTATGGGTCACAGATGAAGAGAGCACTAGAAAGAAGTAGAGAGGATTCTATCAATTTTTGGACATTCCTTAAAAGATTTAATCAAATCTAGCACTTCTCAAATTCATTTAATTCAATAACATATCTCCTGAAGTGCACACAGATTAATCCGCGTAGCGACCGTCTCCTCAAGCTGAGCTTAGTTCCTGAAGACTCGGGTAATTTAGGGTGTGCCTCCCAGCTCTCCCGGCTTTTCACGGCCAGCATTCTAATTTTCACTGCAGGATCCAGACAAGTGCTTCATCTACACTCTGAACACAAACAACGAATGTACAAGTGTGCTTTACACAATTGACGTATGTATAGATTGGGATAAGAGTTGTATGAGCCCCCAATAAAATGATTAAAAAATTAATACAAAATCTTAATGTGGCTTTATTGAGCTATAAAGATTAAAAAGTGTTGCATAACAACAACAAAACAAAAGGCAGATCCATCTTATTCTGGGTATTTCTAAAGACACACAATTTTATCTTAAAGATTTAGATAGGAAAATCTACCTGTAACAGATATAAATATTTAATAGTATATGGCCAAAATTCCTATACTGCTGACACACAGATGGAGCCAAGGGACGCCTGTAAACCAGAGAAAGAAGGGCTCAGAGGACAGCAGCAAAGGCACACACTATGCTTGTAAAGATAACAGCAGGTCAAGATTGTGATGTAAAGATCCAAAACTTTTACCAGATACTTTGAATATTATGAAAGAAAGCTAACACCATAGGTTTAGAATCACATGCTGGGCATGTAATTCCCTCCAAAGTTTTCAAATACAAAATAATTTCCCCCCAAGAGGAAATCTTTCAGCACCCACATCTAGTGCACAGTAAATAAGCCCTGAGACTGGAAGGGGAGAGGGAAGAAAGGGCTGGAGCCTAGGTACTGCTCCTCCTGCAACCTTAGCTGAACTGCACAGCGGCCACGTCACCTCCAAGGAGCCTTGAAGGTTGGCCGGGCGAAGTCGGAAAACTATTGCTCAAAGAGGCACTCGTGATGAAAAATAATACGTAACTGTCCAACACTCACATTGTTTTATACTTTAACACTATTCAGTTGAGCAGATTCCAACTAACGTGCCCCTATATGGGGTTTCTGAGGCAGTAAATGTTTATAAACAGATAACCTCATGTTTCCCCCTCAGAGTGGATGATGGGTTTGAATTGCCAACCTTGTGGTTAGCAGCTCATTGCCTAACC